GCTCCTGGAGTGCAGACATGAAGGCAGTGGCGTCCTCACTCCAGCCCTGGGCATGGGCCTGGCTCCCTGGGGCTCAGTGTGTAGTGGGGGCATGTGTTAACTGGAATGGTGCTTTGCTTTTGTTCTCTACACTTTGGGTGGTAAGCAGCTCTCCTCTGTGGTGCTCTTTCTCCTTCCCTTCATTTTCCCAGGGGTCCATCCTCTGCATTTACCTAGGAGGGAGCTCTGTTACCTGGGGAGGGGCTCATAGTCCTAGGCAGAATGGGGGCTCCCAGTGCCTGCTCCCAGGGCAGGAGTGATAGCCTCAGGAGCCTCAGCACTCAGATCTGTGTCATTGTCCCAACCAGAGCCTTGTTGTGTGCAGAGCCCTCCCTCTGCAGTGATGAGCCCAAAGAAGCCATGTTCCGGCTGAAGCTGGAGCGGGCTGGCTGGGTGCCAGGTTCTGGCACTGAAGCTGCCTCCCGGCTCACCTCCATAGCAGCATAGCGTCCTGGGGGAAGGCAGAGGTAGCCTGTGGTGCTTTGCTCAGTCTCTGGCTCCTGGACTGGGCTCTGAGCCCAGGCAGTTTAATGCCACTGTGGACTTCATTCCAGGAGGTGTGGGGCCTCTGGAGAGCTCCACAGTCCCATGGGGTGGGGTGCCTGGTGTTGGTTGAGGCCAGGCCTTCAACTGGACACAATTTTGTCATTGCTGCCGCTGACTGCCATCCAGGTCACTGCCATTAGTTCCCGGTGGGGCTCAGCTCCCCTACAGATGATCTGTGTAGCTCACCCCAGCCTGCGGATGGAGAAAAACAGTAGGTCCTGCCTGAACACGCTTTGGGAGCAGCCCGCGGTGGCCTGGGGGCTCTGCAGGAGCTTCCCCTCCGCCCTCCACCGGTGAAGAGGAAGGTGCCACTGGCGCGTGTGCCCCCATGCCTCCCATGTGCAGCGTGGGTGTCCACATGTGAGAGTGGGTGCACAAGCCCACGTGTGCACGTGTGTGTGTCCCACCAGACACCCGTGCTCACATGCACACTCTCCTGCATGTCTGCTCATGTGCCTCTGCACGTGCTCGACTCAACTCAGGTTTATCGAAGACCTGTTATTGAAGGTCTGCTATGCACCAGGCCCTGCAGGGTGCTCGGGGACTGCAAACTTGATGCTTGTTGTGCTCTTATGGACTGTCGAGTCCAACAGGGGAGGCGGATATGAATTGAGCAGTTAAAGGTTACATGTAAACTGTCAAACGTGAGGCACGTTCCTGTGGGTTTTCATGTGTTCGTGCATGTACACCTCTGAGGGGCATCCGTGTCCCGGGGAGGAAACGTGTCTGCTGGTACTCCCGTGTGTGCCTGTGCACACCAGTGCTGGCTCTTGCACACACCTCATCTCTATAAAAGGGCTGCAGAAAAGAAGGCTGGATGTGCACGACATATGAATCTGAGGGTTTGGAAAGAGAGAGCAGGACGCAATGTCTGAGGAAGTCCTGGAGACTCTGTTTATGGGCCCCAGGACACAGCTATGCATGGAACTCTCGGGTCCCTGAAATAGCTGATGAGTGGCCTGTGGGACCACTCAAAGTCTGGCCATCACCCTCACCCTGCCTCAACCAGTGATATGACCTCAGGCTGTCACCTTAGTTTTCTCGTTTGTAAAATCATGATCGTAGACTAAACAGTCCCGAAAGTGCTATTGAACCTTGACCTTCCATGAGTCTGGACATGACCCCTGCCCTTATGGATTGTATCTTACAGATGGGGTCAAAGAGATACCTAAGTACATACCCCCCACACACACACATGCAAACAACCACACACATACACTCACACACACATGCACACACATGCACACACACGTACACACGTGTACAGGCATGAAAATGTATAAGGTTGGGTGAAGGAGCTCCAAAATCAGTAGTCAGAGGAGGCCTCTTGGAGGCATTAAAGACACGATTGGAAAGCTTGATCTTGGCGGAGGGGGAGAGGAGGTGGTGAAGAGGAAGAGAGAACCGCTGGGGACATGGTGGGCTGCCGGTGAGTGTCGGCGGCTTGGAACCTGTGGAGGGCGGCAGGGGCTTAGTTTGCACTCAGTGTGGAAGCCAGAGGTTTCTCAGGTTGGCTCAGGGTGCCCTACGATGAACCTCCCAGGGGCTGGGCAGCTCAGCTCTCAGAATTGTGTAAGGAGCTCCTGAGGCTGGAAGTCCGAGATCAAGCTGTCTGAAGTTTGTTCTTCTGAGGCTTCCTCTCCTCTTGGCTTGCACGTGACTATGTGTCTGTCTCCCCTGTGTCCTCACAAGACCCTCCTTCTGTATGTCTGTGTCCCAGGCTACTCTTATTAGGAGGACGCCAATCATCCTGGATGGGGGCTGCTCCAACGACCTCCTGTTGCCTTCGTGGCCTCTTTAAGGTGCTGTCTTCAACAAAGTCACATTTTGAGGCATTAGTGGTCAAGACTTCAACATACGAATTTTTGCGGGACAGAATTCACACATAACAGGAGGGGTGGCAGAAACTCCTTCCCATGAGATGAGACACAGGAAGAGCAGCTAGACACAGGCGAGTGCAGAGGAGACTGCAGACACGGGCAAGTGCGGAGGAGACTGCAGACACGGGCAAGTGCGGAGGAGACTGCAGACACGGGCAAGTGCGGAGGAGACTGCAGACACGGGCAAGTGCGGAGGAGACTGCAGACACGGGCAAGTGCGGAGGAGACTGCAGACACGGGCAAGTGCGGAGGAGACTGCAGATATGGGCAAGTGCGGAGGAGAGTGGTCTCTTTCCACCTGTGGATGTGGAGTGTTGCCAGAGAGGCAGGTGAATGAGGCTTGCCCAGGACCCAGCCAAGGACCAGCCACTGAATCCTTGGTCTCTATGAAGTGAGGCTGAGCCTGCCAGCTTGGCCTACTACACATGGTGGTGGGGTGCAAAGCAGCTAGTAAAGTTTAGAGTGTTATGCAAAGAGACAGTCGTCAGAATAACGTGAGTAATTCCTCGGTGCTGAATGCACACTCGGCTGTGCTAAGAGCAGGGTGGATTTGCAAGTCCTTATTCTCACAGGTGGCCTGACCTGATGGAATGAGGAATGCAGCTCAGGGCCCAGACAGAGACCCACACTCTTTTTCCATAATTACATAAATGCCAGAAGTAAAGCTGATGCTTGAAGTGATTCAGTCACCAAGCTGGTATCCAGTGCTGACGGCTTGTACATTCTTCTGGATTTTGTGTGGGCTGCAATTGCATTTATTTTAGAGATGTTTGAGAGACACATTTATGTTCTAGTTGTTAGATCTTTTGCTTTCCTAAGCAGATGGAGGAGGGGACAGAAGTTCACACAGGGAGGGCCATGCCCTGGGCAAGGCCGAGGAGTGGAAGGTACAGTCTCACTGTGGGGGTTTCTTTTGCTGGTGATGCTTTGCCATTCAGTCCTTCATGATGAAATTCTAGACATTTTGGGCAGTTTTAACGGGGAGAAATTTAGGGCAGCTTGAGAGGAGAGCTTTTTGGCATCCTGGAAACGTGCTGTCCAGAGGTTTCCCTTTCCACAGATGATGCGTAACACACGTGCACTTGAGTGAGGCCCGTGAAAGCCTTTGCATTGCTTTTCTGCTCTGGAGTGTTAGGGCGTCACCGCACACCCCAGCCTGGACAGGCTTAAGCTCTGCCTGACCTGGGGGAGCGCTGCTCTTCTCTGCTCTTATTCTTCCCCAGGCCGGGCAGGTTCCAGCTAACCTTGTCCAGCAGACAGTGTGGCTGCTTTCCTGCCCGTGAATGTGAAGAGCTGGTTTTTCCAGCAAGTAAGACTTTGGTGTGGGGCTGCCCTATGCTCCCCTCTCAGCGTGTTCTAGTAGCTTGTTGCATGTAATAGCTCACTTGAGTGGCTTTCAATGCAGCCTGAAGGTGTGCTGTCCAAACCATTCCCTTTCCGTCTTGACTACCACCATCTCACCCCAAATCCGATGGCCTCAGGGTGCCTCCTGGCACTGCATGCCAGCCAGAGTCTCATCACCCGGCTGAGTGTGGAGGAGCACGGCCAGGCCTCTGAAGGGTGGGGGCCAGGTCCAGGGGCACAGGCTGGGCAGGGACGGGGAAGGCAGGGAACTGATGGAGCTGCACAGGGCGGGGCCAGAAGCAGGAGGTGGGGCTCCAACGTCTCCAGAGCCTAGGAGGGACTTAGGAGCTTCCTGCCTGGGGAGAGCCGGACCCTGGAAACAGGACTCTTCCTAGCCAGGCAGGTTTTGGCAGGTCATCTTCCCAGCACTGCTCGGTGGTTAAAGGAAACATTTTAAACCCGTGCAGACCTGTGCTCCACATTAAATGTAGAATCCTAAGTGGCTTCACTGCCTGGGCCTCGTTCTAGTCCACAGCTGTAAAATGCCAGTGATGCCAGTGCTGAAGGGCTGTGTGAGGCTTCAGCAAGGTGTGCATGGATGGGGTGGGGTGTCGGGCAGGGCATAGCTCTGGCTCTGGGGGTGCTTATTTGGGGGTGCATCAGAGCTTCCAAGCACAGCAGGGCCCCTCACAGTGCTGAGGTGGGAGAGGGAGGGTCTCACTGCATGGGCCTCCTTCCCTCTCTCTCCCCCGTGTGTCACCCCTTCTCGTCTCTCCATTTCTGCTGATTGGACCGTGGGGACTCTTCTCCCTCAGAAACCCTGCCTGGGCTCCTGCTGGTTCCGGGTGTGCTTGGGCCTCCCTTGTGGGTCCTGATCCCACGTCCTCCCCGATTTCCTCCTGAAACCCAAAAATTACTTCCCAATGTGCTTTCCAGACTCAAATGACCCCACCCCACCTGCTCCACCAGGACTCTCCTCAAAGAAAACAATTTTAGGGAAAAAATGAAGCTGTTTTAAATATAAAAGGCCAGGGCACAGTAGGCTCTTATTAAAATACAGAGCGATTAACAAGGTCTCATTCCCCTCAATTATTAACAATGTACTTGTTCTTCAGAAAAGTACCCATGAAAATTTAAAACAGATGAAAATGGTTGTTCACTTAAAACTGCTCAGTTAATCTGTGAGCAATGTTTTATTCAGTGCATTAAGCGAACAGCACGACATCGGACACCTGCTGACCCATCACTCCAGGGCCCGGGCCGGCACGTGGATGGAGAGAGAGGGAGAAGACCAGGCACGAGACTGTGGAGAGCCACACCCCCAGAAATCCCTGCCCGATTCACCGTCCAGCCCACACCTGTGGATGCACAGGGAGTTGCAGGCAGGGCTCCCACGGCAGACTCAGGAACAGGCAGGGAAGCTGCTGCCTCGCCAGGTGAAGGGACCAGGATGGGGAGGCAGAGAGGCCTGTCCAGCCCCTGTGGCTGTTACCATGGGTGCCTCCTCACTGCCCAGTGCGGCCTCGCCTCAGCTTCATAAATAGGGAAGGGGGCCTAAGAGTTTTCACATCCAGGCTCAGGCAGAGGGGAGGCCGGCGGCAGCGGCCGCTGGTTTTTCAGACCTCCCAGGGAGGCCGAGGAAATGGCCTGCCCTGGAGCAGGCGCGGTTCTGTCTTCAGCTGGACGCTGGAGGGTTGGGCTGTGTGGATACTGGTCCCTGCTGCTTCTAGGAGGATACACCGTCCGGGGCTGCACAGGTTGGCTGTGTTTTTTGGATGCTTGATATTTTGTTTTTTCTTCTCTTCACTCTGTCATGAAACTGGCAATAGTAGGCGGTAAATAAATATGTGTTATAGATGAATATTTGCTGTGAGTAAATTAATAAAGGAGTGAATAAATGAACAAGTGACGTAGGGCCTGTCCTGTCTCAGGGACCCCTGCAAAGGCCTGCACACTGGCCAGAGCCTGCCTTCCTGCCAGGGCATTGGGATGCCCCTGTCGAAGCTGCGGGACCCTGGAGGCTGCGGGACTCTGGAGGCTGCGGGACCCTCGAGGCTGCGGGACTCTGGAGGCTGCGGGACCCTCGAGGCTGCGGGACTCTGGAGGCTGCGGGACCCTCGAGGCTGCGGGACTCTGGAGGCTGCGGGACCCTCGAGGCTGCGGGACCCTGGAGGCTGCGGGACTCTGGAGGCTGCGGGACCCTCGAGGCTGCGGGACCCTGGAGGCTGCGGGACTCTGGAGGCTGCGGGACCCTCGAGGCTGCGGGACTCTGGAGGCTGTGGGACCCTCGAGGCTGCGGGACCCTGGAGGCTGCGGGACTCTGGAGGCTGCGGGACCCTCGAGGCTGCGGGACTCTGGAGGCTGCGGGACCCTCGAGGCTGCGGGACCCTCGAGGCTGCGGGACTCAGCCACTGATCCCACTGAGGAGTCCCAGTCTCAGAAAACTGAGCAGCTGCTTCTGCAGACCCTGCATCCTCCCCTCCCTGGAGAAAGGGAAGCTCTGGCTGAGTCCTGGGACTGAACCCTTGGGTGCCACGGAAGCTTTGCTGCCTGTCAGTCATGAGGTGGGAGAAACAGACCTGGGGAGGAGGCTGGTTTTTGCACAGCGACTTGCTCCTTAGCCTGGTGCCGTTTACCTCCAAATCTCCTGAAGGTTGACCCCCGGGTGAAGACGTGGAGGCGAGTTTTGGGGGGATAGAGCGGGCTTGGTGGGATGCTGGCACCTTAGCAGGCTGTGCCCAAGGTGCCCCGTGTCTGCGGCTCAGCTCTCGGGCTACGTGCACAGGAGCATGTTGTGAGGGCATTTGGGTGTGGGTGGGGCGGGGAAAGGGAGCTGGGGCTGTCTCCTTTAATGGGTATCTGCCACATGCGATTGTGAGGGAGGAGGAAGTAGAGGAAGAAGAAGCCTCCTTGGGAGGTGCTGAACAACGAGGGCCTTGGAGAGTCCATTCAGAAGCACAGTCTTGCAGAGTGGGCAAAAACAATAGAGCTTCTTGAGGCTGCACGGGCGTTTGTGCAATCACCAGCGCCTGCTGTGAGTGGCCTACGTACTGTCAGGGAAGAGAGGCCGTGACGCCGGATGATGGACTCCAAGTCAACTATAAGATTAAGCAAAATTAAAACAAATTAAAACAAAGTAGGAAATCAAGAGCAGCTGCTGTGACGGCCTTGCGGAGATGACGTTAGCTTTGGGAACTGGACAAGTGCGCCCCTGAGCTGCACCTGCACCCAGAGGCTGAGCCGGCGCACGGGCCTTGCAGAGGGACTGGCCTGGGCTTGTAGAGCGGCACAGTGGCCCCGGGCCTGGAGGAGCAAGGGTGGGAAGGGGCAGGCCAGCTCCTGCCAGGCTGGAGAAGGAGTCGGACCTCATGCCACCTGTGCCTGGGTGACTGTGAACATGTAACAAATGTGATCTTATTTATGTTTTGAAAAAGGCAACACAAGCCAACACAAGCCCTGTGAGGACCAGGTGACAGCCGCCCAAAAGCCGACACGGGGAACAAGCCTGGAGCAGCGAGGACGGGTGCTGCGACGGAGGGTGTGCAGCCAGGCCCGCGGTCGGACCTGGTCAGATCAGAGGAGAGAGGGCCGCCAGACTGTGGACGAAAATTAGAAGCTGGAAAGGAGCAGAGAACAGGAGGCTGCCACTCTCCATCTTTCCCAAAGTCACTCCAGGGAGAAGGACATCAGTTACTGAAATGACAGACTCTCCATTTCACATTTTTCCCCAAGTGCAGAGTGCAGGGAAGCAGATGGGCTAAATTTCTAGAGCCAGGGTTATTAATGTACACTTTACATAGTAAACTTTCCCCTTTTAGGTGTGCAGGCCTGAGGTTTGCCAAATACGTGTAGGCATTTAACCACCACCAGGGTCACGATGTAGAATATTTCCACCATCGAAACGTTTGCTTGTGTCCCTTGATGGTCATGCCCCATTCCGCAGCCCCGGCCCCTGGAAACGGCTGTCTGCTTTATGTTCCAGTAGTTTTATCTTTTCCAGACTGTCACGTGAATGGAATCAGATGCACGAAATCCCATGGTATGGGGTCTTCTGAGTCTAGCTTCTTTTATTTAGTGTGATGCATTTGACATTAATCCGTGTCTCAGGCATCAGGAGTTTATTTCTTTTTCCGCTGAGTAGTATTTTGTTGTATGGATATATTGCAATTTGTCTATCCATTCACCTGTTGATGTACGTTTGAGATTTTTGGCAATTATGAATAAAGCTGCTATAAACAGACATGGATTTTATGTAGACACATGCCTTAATTTCTGTTGAGTAAATAACAAGGCATGAGATTTCTGGGCCACAGGGTAAATGTGTGTTTCACTTTATAAGAAACTGACAAGCTGTTTCCAAAGAGGTTGCTGCATTTTGCGTTCTCATCAGCAGTGTGCGAACGTTTTAGCTGTCCTGTGTCCTTTCCAGCACCTGGAGTACCCATTTAAAAGGCTTCAGCCACTTAAATAGGTGTGCAGGACTGGACTTAAATGTAAATTTGAGAGGCGTCAGTATGTGTGTGTGTGCCTTTCACACCTCCACAGTCACTGGCCACATGCGCTCATAAGGGATGAATACGCACAGCCCCTGGGAAAGGTCTGAGCAAAGGGCCGTGGGCAGGGCACCCAGCCAGACAGAAAGAAATCAAGGCGTGTGCTCTACGGTCCAACCAAGAAAGGATTTTGAAAAGAGAGAGTAAGCTGCCGGCCAGTTGTTGCTGAATGGCTGCATGTGATAAAGAGTGACGCTTGAGCACTGGATTTACAAAGATGGTGGTTTTTGCTGTCCTTGACAAGAGCAGTTTCAGGTTTGCAGCAGTGATGAGACCCGCATGAGAGGGAGTTCAGGAGGGCAGGGACTTGGGTGATAGGACTGGCTCCTCATCCAAGATAGGGCAGTGGAGTCTGCAGGCTGCGTCTCCAATTTTCTCCTTTCTCCTTAATAATAGAAATCTAAATTTATTTAGGATGGCAATGTGCACAGATAGAAAGACTACATTTTCTAGCTCTCTGGAAAGGCTACGCCTGGACAAGCTCATGACACTTGTTGAGTGGACTTCCATGAAAACTCAGTAAGATTAGGGAGGTGACAGTTGGCAATGATCCACTTGCCTTTCCCTGTCCTCCTTCCTGCAATTGGGGGGACATACTGACGGCAGACAGTGGTGATCACGGGACCTTCAGCTTGGAAGACCTTGATGATGCAAGCCAGCTTGAGGATGGCAGAGAAGAAAGACGGGAGTTATTGAGCTCCCTGATGGTTCCACTGAGCTGCCAAGCCAGCCTCCAGCCTGCTCCTCCTTAAACCCATATGTGGCTGAGCCAATGCACTTAAGCCTATTAGCTGTTGAACAAACCTAACTGACACAGACTGTAAGCCTCAATATTAATGCATCAATTCTCTCATTAATTTATAAATTTGATTTGATTTCCAAATATATACAGAAATAGCATACTTTGGATTTAGACAAGCTGTTGCTAAAATTCACATAGAAAAATGAGCAAGTAAGAATTGTTCAAGAAATTCCAAAACAGGTGAATTAGCAGGTGATGAGAGCTATAGCTGTAATATTTTAAGCTATAATAAATAAAGCAGTGTGGTGCTGGTGCATGGATAGGGAATCCAGTCAGGAGAACAGAATATAGAGTCCGAAAATAGAACCAGTTACAGGAGGAAACTGAAAGTTGTATGATGACTCTTTCTCAGATGTTCTGAAATAGTGGGAGAAGATGGGTTATGTGATGAGCAGTGTTAGGACCATAAAGCAGTGATCTGAGAAAATTACTGGCCCATAACCAGGCTAGTAATGGGGATCTCCAACTGAGATATAGTCCAAATGAATCAAAGGTTTAAAGGTCAAAAAAACACAAAGATATATTACTAGAAAAATTAAAACATAGGAGAGTTATTTATAGTCTCAGGGTAGTAAAGAACAAACAAATAAACAAAGAAACCCCAGAAATCATAAAGTAAAGGCTTGATAAGTTTGACTACCTAAAAAATTCTGTAGGACAATATCCACCCATAAGCAAAACCAAATAATAAACGACAAACTGGGAAACAGGTTTGGAACCGTGATCACAGAATGAGGTCAATTTCTTTAACACGTAAAGAGCTCCTACAAAACAAGACCAAAAATTCAAAATAAAAATAGGCAAAGGTTCACAGAGACAATTCCTAGTAAAGGAAATACAAACAGCTCTTAAGTGTGAAGAGATGTTCGTCTTTACTGAGATGAAGAGAAACACAAGCTAAAGCTCCCTGGAGATGCCCCTTTCTCACCCAACAGATCCTCGGAATCGGAAGCTGGTGACACCGCGCTGGCCGTGGTTTGCACACGCAGGCCTTGTAATACTTTGCTGATGAGCGTGTGGCCTGGCGGAACCGAGGAGCGGTTCCAAAAACTCCCTGATGTCAGAGCGTCGCTGCCCAGCGTGCTGACCGCCTTCGCGTGTTGTCCTGAGAGACAGGGTCTCCATCTCTTCTTCCCAGGTGAGGACGGTGAGGCTCAGAGAGGCCGGGGACAGTTAACTGGGGCTACACCGGGAACGAACTCAAGCCATGGTATCCAAAAACCAGTGGAAGGATGAGTGGAAGAATGAAGGGCACCCTCGGCCTGTCTTCCTCCTTTCTTCTCTCTCTTTGTTCTGCCTTCTCTCCCCTGCAAATGAACACAGAGTACTCGACTGACCTGTGCACAGAGAAGTACAATTAACTCCTGCCCTCAGGCGTCTAGCTGGTTTCCTACAGATCTGCAAAGCTGACGGTCCAGGCCTGTGTAGACCGTGGGCCCCCTAAGCAGGACTGTGAAACAGCCTGGGCTGTGTGGACTGTCTTTCCTTGCTGCCTCCCCAGCGTTCTGAGAAGCAGACTCTTCTCCGGATGCCGTTGGAGGGCCTGGAGCCCAAGACACCGTCCATGAGCTAGTCCAGCCGAAGCGCGAGGTAGAGACCAGGATCCTATTTTTGACTTTGCTGCCACTGAGATGTGACATGACCGTTCTGGCCCTTGGTGTTCTGAAAGAAGAGTGAGGCCACGTCAGCTGTTTTGGGAGGGAAGAGTAGAGCTTGACCACCGGGGAGCCAAGAGGCTCATCAGCAGTGGGTCCCAGAGGGTGAAGGGACAGGGAATGGGGCACAGGGGATGGGACCTGCCAGGTCCCCCACAGGGACCAGATATGCTGCCTCTGCCCCTCCAGGCATGAGGAGGCCTGTGGGTGAGGTCGGGAGAACACGCTGGGAGGTGCACGTGCCGCACTGGTGTGGGAAGTGCGTGAAAAGTGGTTGTGTGGGGCAGGGTGAAGGCCTAAGAGGCAGCTGCCATTCACGAGTCTCCCTGTAGGTGTTCAGTCCTGTATGGCAGCTTCCTTTAGCTTTCCTCTTCTCAGAAATACTCATGGTCCTGAGCCCACGCTTTCCGTAATGTGGATGTGGGGTTTCACCCGCTCGGCCAGCCACCGGCCAGCTTTTAAGGGCTTAGGCTCACACTCCTCAGCTCTGAAAAATGTTCCTAGGAAAACATATCACTTTATTTATATGCAGCAGTTGATCAACGAATTGTGTGTGGGTGTGTGTGAGTGTGCACGTGTGTGAGTGCGGCCAGCGTGGGTGGGAAGGAGCGGGTGAAAGGTGGACTTTGCTCTTGAGGAACTCGCAGTCTAATTCAAGAGGTCAGATGCTTGCTCAGATAATTGTAGTCCAAGGCAGAGAACAGTAAGCCCCAGAGGCCGGTGAAGCGCCCCGAGCTGGAGAGGGGGAGGAGGCCAGAGAGGTGGAGGAGGCCATCCCATCATTGCTTTCCTTCCCACGAGACAGGCCGTGGAGCTTCAGCTCTCTCAGGTCCAAGAACTGCATTCGGCCAGGGGTGAGCCCTGAATCCCTATCGTGAAAGCCACAGCTGGGCCGGCAGATCTCTTACCTGGGGGCCCCCCAGTCGCTGCTGGGTTCAGACGTTCGTGCCAGTGCCCTCAGCCAGCCACGCCCTGGGCCTGCCTTTCTTGCCTTTCTCACTGATGCCCCTCCAGCTCCCAGGGCAGACCCCGTGCTCTCGGCTGATTCTGGAGACACCTCCCAGCCGCCTCCCCTTGCCCTCAGCCCCAGCACCACCACCTATTTGGGGGTAGTTTTCATCTTGCAGGGGGCCAAGTGGCTCATAGGCCCTGCTGCCACCACCGCCTAGCTTTCTCCTGCAAGCTGCCACCTCTCCCAGCTGCACTGTGCCCTCCCTGAGGCCAGGGCTCCAGCTGGGCCTCTCTGCGGCCTTGGCAGTTCTCCAGGTAGATGCTTCCCAGCTCACTGATGGGTCAGGAGTGAGGTGTGCGGCCGCCTCGCTTAGCCCAGGCGCTGTGGGGACTGCAGTCTGGAAGCTGGGCCTCTGTGCAGAGCGGCCTCCTGGTCTTCAGAGCAGCCCACCCTTGTGGCAGGCGTCCCTCCACATCCTCAGCTCCCAGGCTGGCAGCCCCCGGCTCTGCCCGAACACTTGAGTGGCAGATTTCTCACCATTTCCTGCGGAAGCGATTCCAATTTCAATGTGAGAACGTGACTCCTTTTAATGAGTCAATATCTGTCTTCCTGAATCTTTCACCAACTGGCTCTTGTTCTGTCTTCTGGAATCTCACAGGAAAAAAAATCCCAGCCCCGCACCCCTGACAGCGTCTGGTGGAGACTCTCCCGGAGTGGAGCTGACAGCGTCCGGTGGAGACTCTCCCGGAGTGGAGCTGACAGCGTCCGGTGGAGACACTCCCGGAGTGGAGCTCTCCCTCTGCAGGCAGGGCAGGCGGGCGGGCGACTCACACCTGGGGGTTCTGACCCCACCGTGGTGGGAGTCTTCTTTCACCACCCACAAACAAACACGGTGGAATCAGCACACTGCCCTGCCCAGCCAGGAACTCGGGGAGACTGGGAGCACCGGGGTGAGCCTCTGCAGGAGGGTTCTGGCCCCACTGGCCCTCTGACAGGTAAATGCGTAGGAATCTCACCCTGTTCGGCCTCAGACAAACACACATTCTCAAGACAGCAGCTGGTGGAGAAGGAAGTGAGCCTGGAAGTCCATGTGAAGCCCACGGTGCCTCCTCCACCCAGCCTGGCATCCTGCCTGGGGGCTGAAGGGAGACTGGCAGCCGGGGCCTGCTGGGGCGGCTCAGCCACCTCTGTCTCCAGCGCCCCACAGGCGAGGCTGAGGCTGGGGGCCGGGATCCTGGTCCCCTCCCACACACAGCCCTCCCTGCTCCTCCAGCTGCCCCTGCCTGCCCCTGCCTGTCCCTGCTCACCCTGCCCTCGCCCCCAACTCTCTCACAGACCAGGAACCACGTGGTGAGGCTGGGTGCATATTCACATGAGAGAGAACGCCATAGCAACCCTGAGACAACAGGAACGCTTTCCTGACAGACGCTGGAGACGCCCCTTCCTATGGGAGTGTGTGTGAGCCCTGGAGCCACTGAGCCACAGGGCAGGGCACCCTCACTTTGGTAAAGCTGAGGGCATTGGCCAGCATGGGTTTTGGGGAGGCAGGTTGTGTATGTGGTGAACTGGGAGTCTCTGCTGCAAGCTGGCGTCTGAGTTGCCTTGTGCCTTGGAAAGCATGACCGGCTGCTGAGTTCAAAGGCAGGTGGGCGAGGACACTGCACTCAAGAGGCAGGGGGTGCTCCGTGTGGCCTGTGGGTGTCAGGAGGCTTCAGTTCTAGCGGTGGCTTTGGGGTCTGGGGTGCACAATCTTACTTGGTATTTTCTAGAGAGTTAGACATCTGGCTTAGGAGCCCAGAGGCCTGGGGCTGTGACCCGACATCACACAGCATGTATGGGTTAAGATCAGGGGTTCTAAAGTCACACTGCTTTGGGTTTGAACCTGTGCTGTGACTTCCCATACAGCCTGGATGACCCCTTCTGGGCCAACAGTACACTGTGGGATAACAGCACCTGCCTCAGGAACCCCTCTGAGACCCCACCATTTGCCAGCCCTGTGACTTTGGGCAGCCACTTTACCTCTCTGTGCCCAGTTTCCTTCTTAATAATGGAGGCAGAATGGAACCTGCCTCGCTGATGAGCCGTGAGGATTAAATGAGATGAATCAGGTAGAAGGCTTTGAATAGTGCCAGGTCCACTGTGTGTGTCTGACACATGTGAGTTACGTTGAGGAACTCAGAGGGTTGGGTGGGGGTGAAACATCTCAATGTGTGTAGCACGTAATACACACTCACAGCTGATGATGATTTTTATGACTGGCAGTAATAGCGGTGCTATGTCCCATCTCCTCTTTGTTTCTCAAGAATAACGCACATGCATATCTATCCAAAATGTGTACATGCTTTTGGGGAACATAAACCCAGAAATACAAGACATTACCACATATAAAAAGATCTGCTCTGCACAAAATCGGCAGCGAGTCCCTGAAGCCTGTTTAAACAAGACAGAATCCTCACTGTTTCCATGAGGAGAATGAAAACAAGGGAGAGTGAGGCAGTTCTCTCCTTTCTAAGAGAGCTTCGCCATCTGGAAGGAAGAAAAGGCTCTTAATTAACAGCAAGGAAGGGAAGGCTAAGAGGGGGCCTGGGGCCCAAGTGGGGAAGGCTACGGGACTCTGTGCATTGGGAGCCCGGGCACTGAGCCTCCAGTCCCTCCCACTGGCAGGCAGCGGCGCTCCTGCCGAGAAGGACGTCAGTAGTCCAGGGACCCCAGAAGGTTCCACAGCAACTTCACTGAACAGCCACCTGACCCTCCTGGAGTCTGCAGCACCCAGGAGAGAGTCTATAGTGATGGTGTTCAAAGTGTGATCCCTGAACCAGCGGTGTCAGCACCACCTGGGGTCTCTTTGAAATGCACGTTCCTGGGCTCCTTTCAAGACCTGCTGAGGAAGAGCCTCCTGGGGTGGGCAGCAATCCTGGTTTTAACAAACCCTCCCGGGGGTTACTGATGCGGGTCAGTAGGAAGAGAGAATTGTGGACATCTTCTGAATTGTAAGATGGGGCAACACCACCGTCTGCTTTCCTGCATCTTGGTGTGCAGAGAGCTTGAGTGTGGGTGGTGGGCAAATCTGAATTCAAATCCCATTTTAGTCTCCTGTTGTTTGTGTGATTCGGGGAACCTGGGCTCCTCTGTTTTGATATCTCTAAAATGGGGTAATAACGCCTAGTCTGAGAGGGTCCTCGTAGGGATTGGAAGTAACATATGGGAAATTCTTGGCACAAGTTCTTGTCAAATGAGAAGACAGATGAAGAAGCCCTCCTCCATCTGTACCTCTTCTCCCTATTTTCCCCAGAACTTGGAATGGTGCTTTGCCCTTAATTGGCAATTAAGATATAAACAAAATTAATTGAAAGCGTTTCAAGCACTTCTCGTCTGGAGCTCATCCCACGGGATGGTTCCTTGTCTTCCCCACTCACCCCAGCAGACACTGAGCACAGGAAGAAGCCGGGGTAGCTGCGTGGAACATACTTTAACAAACAGAAATCTAGCACAGCTTATACGGCATCGCTGCCTTCCTGTCCCATTTTATGTCCAAATCCTAATGCAGTTTTGCCAAGAAGCACCCGACATTTCTCCAAAATCTTTTTCCAAACCCAACCAGCCAATCCCCACTCCAGCCAAAGACCAAACCAAACTAAACCAACTAGCAAACCAACCACACGTGCAAGCACCTGCACACATACATGCACACACAGTGCACACACCTGCACACACACACCCACACAGGCACCCACCTGAGCACACCCCTGCACACACACATGCACACACATGCCCACTCCTGCACACACACACCTGCACACACACACACACCCCTGTGCACACCCATGCACACACATGCACACACATGCACACACACATGCACACACGCACACAGCTGCACACAGCTGCACACAGCTGCACACACACGTGCACACACCTGCACACACCTATGCACACACCTGCACACACCCATGCACACATATGCCTACACCTGCACACACACCTGCACACACGTGCACACACGTGCACACACCTGCACACACACCTGCACCCA